TTCTCCCGACTACTGTCAACTCCCCTCTACCATCTCACCCCCTCTTCCGTCCCCACTACAACAACCCATCCCACCCCACCACTGGCCACGGAGGAAGCCAGCACCCCGCCTCCTAATCCAACACTGGAAAACAACCACAACTTGGCATGCCAGTGTTGTGTTGTGAAGCAGAGCTTGTTTGTTTCCTGAGTATATATATATATATATATATATATATATATATATATATATATATATATAATATATATTATTTATCAATGTTTTCGTAATCTTTTTAGATTTCTGACTATTTTCTTCTGATGTTCTTCGCTAGCGTCTGGTTGTTTTGGAGTTTTTCTTTAATCATTAATGGAAATCTTCTTCCATTTCAGGTGACTGGAGCGAGTGTTGCGTGGGAAGTAGACACTCCCGCGAGTGAATATGAGTGCAGAACAATACACAAGTGTTGCACAATGAGTGTCGAATCTGAAAAAAAAAAAAACAAATTTGTTGACAATTTGACAACTGTTAGAAACTCAGCTTGAAAGTTGTGTGTTCGTATTTGCTGGTTTATAAGTGACCTCAGCCACACGTTATTATAGTTCTGATGATGTCAAGGTGAAAGTATCATTGTGTTTTCTAAACGACTATTTTATTTAAGTTCTGCATTGAACACAACGCATAGTTCTAAACGGTGATTTTTTTTTGGTTAATCATTATTGTGTCGAGAGAGAAATAGTGTTTTGATCCTGTGAAAAGTGGGGTTTTGATCCTGTGAAAAGTGGGGTTTTGATCCTGTGAAAAGTGGGGTTTTGATCCTGTGAAAAGTGGGGTTTTGATCCTGTGAAAAGTGGGGTTTTGATCCTGTGAAAAGTGTAAGTGCTGGTGTGTGTGTGTAAGTGCTGAACCTGTTTCTGGCACTCGGTGCTCGACGCACTAGAGTGCTAGTACTATAGTGCTAGACTTCACCAGAGTGCAACTAGTAATTGGGTTCACTCTTGTGGATAACTTTATTCCCTCGAGTAGTGTGTTACGAAGCCGCAAGTGTGACCCAGCTCAACACACTCACACACTATGTTGAGTTGCGTTTAGCCACTGCTTGTGTTGAGTGGTCCAGTGTCACTCTTACAGTGTTGGGTGACCTATAGAATCACCACTACAGTGTTGGGTGACCTATAGAATCACCACTACAGTGTGGGTGACCTATAGAATCACCACTACAGTGTGGGTGACCTATAGAATCACCACTACAGTGTGGGTGACCTATAGAATCACCACTACAGTGTGGGTGACCTATAGAATCACCACTACAGTGTTGGGTGACCTATAGAATCACCACTACAGTGTGGGTGACCTATAGAATCACCACTACAGTGTTGGGTGACCTATAGAATCACCACTACAGTGTGGGTGACCTATAGAATCACCACTACAGTGTTAAGTGGTCCATAGAATCACCACTACAGTGTTGGGTGACCTGTAGAATCACCATTACAGCATTGGGTGACCTATAGAATCACCCCTACATTGTTGGGTGACCTATAGAATCACCACTACAGCGTTGGGTGACCTATAGAAACACCAATACAACATTGGGTGACCTATAGAATCACCCCTACAGTGTTGGGTGACCTATAGAATCACCACTACAGCATTGGGTGACCTATAGAATCACCCCTACATTGTTGGGTGACCTATAGAATCACCACTACAGCGTTGGGTGACCTATAGAAACACCAATACAACATTGGGTGACCTATAGAATCACCACTACAACATTGGGTGACCAATAGAATCCCCACCACAGCGTTGAATACCCTAGCCATCGCCGCAGGGAGGGGAGAAAAACAGCACCGAAACATGGAGAAACTCCCCACCAGTCGAGGGACGAGTCAGCCCAATGGAAAGTACGCTTACTACAGCAGCTACAGTTACGACCCCGTGCCTGGCTACACTGAGTACGACTACCACCCGTCCGCCCAGCCTCCACCCACCCTCCACCTCCAGCAGCACCCTCCACACCAGTACCTCCACCCTCAGAAGGACAACCTCGACTCCACAGAAGGAGGAGGAGGCGGGGGGAGATTTGATGGTGGTGGGGAGAGAGTGATGGAGAGTACAGCTAGTGGGGAGCAAGATGGAGGAGGAGGGGGAGGTGGTGGGGGTGTTGGAGAGGGGGTGAGGGTGGAGGGGGCAGGGGGAGTGGGGGAGAAGAGGTGGTGTTCACTACTAGTCGTCGCTCTCAGCCTTCTGGTGGTCGTTGTGGTCGTCTTGGCTACCGTCGTCCTCTACTTGAACTGTGAGTGTTTGCTTCCCGTTTTCTCTGTATTAGAATATCTCATTTTCCCATTTTCTCTGAACTGGAGTATACCAGCTTCCCGTTTTCTCTGTTTTAGAATATATCATCTTCCCATTTTCTCTGTATTGGTGTATACAGCTTCCCGTTTTCTCTGTTTTAGAATATTTCATCTTCCAATTTTATCTGTATTTGTGTATACTGTGTAGACTCCAGTACAGATGTGTATTGGAGTATACTGTGTATAGGAGTATACGATCTTCGCTTTTTCTCTGTATAAGTGTTTACCATCTTCCCGTTTTCGTTGTTTAAGAGTTTACCATCTTCCCGTTTTCGCTGTTTAAGAGTTTACCATCTTCCCGTTTTTGCTGTTTAAGAGTTTAACATCTTCCCGTTTTTGCTGTTTAAGAGTTTAACATCTTCCCGTTTTTGCTGTTAAAGAGTATACCTACCTCACGTTTTCTCTGTAAATAAGAAGAAAATTAAAAGTTTAAACACAACCCATTGTTCACACAATCATCTGTCATACAATCCACTCTCGAGAAATACAGAGTTATTCTCTATGAGGTTAAAGGGCTAGATCATGTGAGTGGTCACCAGTCCAGGAAGTAGCCAGACTCTACATCACTTAACCCAAATGGCCAAAAAAAAGGCGTACATGAGCCTTATTTCTCTGAACATGTGACATTACATTATTGTGACATTACAGGTATAAATTTTTTTTGGGGGGGGAAATTGGATAAAAAAAATATCTTAACATGAGACGAGAGTGTTTGTATATGAAAGTAATTATGTAGATGGGATTTATCGGAGTGAGAAGCTGAACAGCAGTCACAGGGATTGTGTATATTAATGTCCAACAACCGAATTGCCTTCAGGTAAAACTCGGGGCCCATTGGCTCTTATAAGCATGGTCTGTAGGGTGCGTTTTGTCCGTCCTTGCTCGGCACCCTTGTTGACTCCTGACTTCCTGTAGGAGGCCAGGGAGGGGTAGACTCTCCCTGCAGGAGGCCAGGGAGGGTAGACTCTCCCTGTAGGAGGCCAGGGAGGGTAGACTCTCCCTGTAGGAGGCCAGGGAGGGGTAGACTCTCCTTGCAGGAGGCCAGGGAGGGTAGACTCTCCCTGTAGGAGGCCAGGGAGGGTAGACTCTCCCTGTAGGAGGTCAGGGAGGGTAGACTCTCCCTGTAGGAGGCCATGGAGGGTAGACTCTCCCTGTAGGAGGCCAGGGAGGGTAGACTCTCCCTGTAGGAGGTCAGGGAGGGGTAGACTCTCCCTGCAGGAGGCCAGGGAAGGTAGACTCTCCCTGTAGGAGGCCAGGGAGGGTAGACTGTCCCTGTAGGAGGCCAGGGAGGGTAGACTCTCCCTGTAGGAGGCCAGGGAGGGTAGACTCTCCCTGCAGGAGGCCAAGGAAGGTAGACTCTCCCCGCTCGAAGTTTCCGTTCATATAGGAATGAGTTTAATATCACATGTGGAAAATATAGTTTTTGCTCTGGTGACGAGTTACCTGGTAGTATATATTGCCGCTGGTGACACTGTGACAACGTGTTGTGAACGCTGCAGGGATTGGTACTTTGCTTTAGGCCTATCCCCCCCCCCTCAGGAGGCTATGTTTCCATCTCCCCTACTACCCGGGAGGAGGCCTGGTCGAGGACCGGGCCGCGGAGACGTTAAAGCCCCGAAATCATCTCAAAGTAACCTTCACTATATCACCTATACTGTCCAGCCAGGCTATATATTGTACTTTTGAACACTGAACCCAGGAATACAGAAACGCTGTGTATTTGCACCGAGAAGCAGTGTACTAAAGTTGTGTATATGAATACACATGAAACTCCGGGAGCTGTACACTCTTCAGTGTTAAACTACATTGAACACAGTACTACAACACCCAGAGACGGAGTTATAGAACTACATCACTCAAATACTCCACTACAGTTTCCTGAATCCTCACAATAGGGATACATGTAACCTCCCACGAGTCCGTAGGAGCCTGCGTGCACACACACACACACACACACACACACACACACACACACACACACACACACACACACACACACACACACACACACACACACACACTTGAAGTCAAAAATCTTCATTTTCCTCCGTCGATAAACAGGCAAACTAGTTTGACATGAAACGTACAGTTGTTTGATGGCGTACAGCTTCCTTCTGGGTCAAAGGTCATTTACCTGAGAGGGAAGGTATAAGGGTCAGATTGTGGCACTGTTACACCCGCTTCAGCTGACCCAGTCATTCGACGGTCGTTGTTAAACAGAGGACTCGGATCACTGTAAGCCACAGCAGTGACTTGTGTCCTTGAATGGTTGGACTGTCTCTCTCCTCTCTCTCTCTCTCTCTCTCTCTCTCTCTCTCTCTCTCTCTCTCTCTCTCTCTCTCGATCGATCGATCGAGATATATATAATATATAATTAGTATATTTTGGTAGCAATCTTTCTTGTAAAATATATATATATATATATATATATATATATATATATATATATATATATATATATATATATATATATATATAATAAACCCTTCACCTTCCGGCTGCTCTTATTAAGACCCTTCACGTTCAGTATAGCAGTCGGCCGGTGATTGACTTCACCATCCTTAGGCAAGTTCCCCTGAGCGTAATTAATTCAGGAACCCACAACTTTGGCCTAATTACCAACCCGGCTTCTACCCTACTAAGTAACTTCTTTTTTTTTTAACGATGTCGACAATGTTGTTAAAAAATGCGTGAGATTAGAATAAATTAATGCATCTCAATATGGACTTTTTTCTATGCACGAACTTCAAGGTCTTTAGGGTGGGTTGTGTGTGATGCATGTTTGGTGTGTGTGTGTTTTTTTATTTAGTGTCTCCGGGCGAAGGAAGGAAGGGACAGGGGTGAAGGGAGGTGGTAGGGTGGGGAGGGGGGGGGGAGGCTGGGTTTCTTACCCTTCCCACAACCCCCTCTCCCCCCCCCCCATGCACCCCTACTCAACAACATCTCCCCTCATGGCGTTCCTGCATCACATTCTCACAAAAAAAATTATTTAACTGTTAGAAAACTGTTATCCATTATCAAACTCGAGGCACTTCGATGCCTCGCTGCGCAACTTCGATGCCTCGCTGCGCAACTTCGATGCCTCGCTGCGCAACATCGTGACCTGGCTGCGCAACATCGTGACCTCGCTGCGCAACATCGTGACCTCGCTGCGCAACATCGTGACCTCGCTGCGCAACATCGTGACCTGGCTGCGCAACATGCGGTAGACAGCATCACACGTGACCAGCACCCGTCTAAGCTCGTGGACAGACTGTCGTGCTTCTCCTCTCTCTCGTGCTGGAAATACCTGGACGTGAATTATCCGCTCTCTGATCAGATTATAGGTAAGAGGCACTTAGCTGAGTGCACCTAATTAACCCGGTGCCTGGGTGCTCATCTCTCAGGGGTCAGGGACTGGTGACTGAGCCTGGGTGCCTGGGTGCCAGGGTGCCCATCTCTTAGGGGTCAGGGGGGGTGGCACTGGGGTCAGGGGGGGTGGCACTGGGGTCAGGGGTGGCACTGGGGTCAGGTGTAAAGGGGAGAAAGGGAATGGAACATATGAAAGGAAGGTGAGGGGGAAGGAGTATGAAGAACAGGCCAAGAGAACAAGGGTGAGGTGGAGAAGAACAAAAGCCAAAAGAGGGAAGCGGAGAGTGATAGAAGATGGGATGAAGGGTTGGCTAACCAAAGAAGGAAGGAGGAGGAGGAGGAGATAGGAATGAGTAGAAGAGATTGACGTGTCCACTATTCTAACATCTATTACAAAACACTATTGTCCCACAACTATGATGTTCCACCTTTAGAAACAACTATATGTCTCAAATATATTTAAATTCGAGTTAGTGCACCAAAGGTCCACAGCGGGGTGATAAGGGGCTTGATTTCAGATCTTGCCGCCCGTGGCGAAGTATTGTCTTGGTGGTGTTGTGGTTGGTAGTGTGGCCGCCCGCCGCCCAGATGGCGTGTATGACGCCCGGTCGATTTAAACATGAATTTTATACACCAAGTTTACTCAATATATTTGCTTAACAGTTTACTATTTATTGATTTATTTTGGTCATTGGGTTTATTTAAATATCGTGGTAAGAACAATTACTGATGTCTGTATCGTGTGACATCAAAATAGGGAGAAAATATGCTTAACCCAGCATACTAACCAGCATACTCTCTGCTCTCTGGGATGTCAACATAGCCAGGCAAAGCCCATGTGCTCTAATATAGACCATGTTGGTCTATGGTCTCTTGATCTATTATACTATTATAGGCCTAATGTAACTAAGATATGCTATACTCTTTCTTAAGTGGATATTTTCCACAATTGGGATGTAATTGTTTGGTTGTTCTTGCAGGCTCTAGTGTAATTGTTTGGTTGTTCTTGCAGGCTCTGGTGTAATTGTTTGGTTGTTCTTACAGGCTCTGGTGTAATTGTTTGGTTGTTCTTGCAGGCTCTGGTGTAATTGTTTGGTTGTTCTTACAGGCTCTTGTGTAATTGTTTGGTTGTTCTTGCAGGCTCTTGTGTAATTGTTTGATTGTTCTTGCAGGCTCTTAGTGTAATTGTTTGGTTGTTCTTGCAGGCTCTGGTGTAATTGTTTGGTTGTTCTTACAGGCTCTGGTGTAATTGTTTGGTTGTTCTTGCAGGCTCTGGTGTAATTGTTTGGTTGTTCTTACAGGCTCTAGTGTAATTGTTTGGTTGTTCTTGCAGGCTCTGGTGTAATTGTTTGGTTGTTCTTACAGGCTCTAGTGTAATTGTTTGGTTGTTCTTGCAGGCTCTGGTGTAATTGTTTGGTTGTTCTTGCAGGCTCTGGTGTAATTGTTTGGTTGTTCTTACAGGCTCTGGTGTAATTGTTTGGTTGTTCTTGCAGGCTCTAGTGTAATTGTTTGGTTGTTCTTGCAGGCTCTAGTGTAATGATGACATTGGGTTCTTTCTAGAGATTGTTCATCTTTTCCTGTAACTTAATTTATGATGTTTCTGTCTTTACACACTCTGAATTAAGTCCCCAGTATTTATTCCTCATTTTTGATATGGTAGAGCCCAATAGACTCAGGAACCTGTACCTCACCAGTTGATTGATAGTTGAGAGGCGGGGCAAAGAGAGCCGAAGCTCAACCCCCCTGCAAGCACAACTAGGTGAATACAACTAGGTGAGTACATATCTCTTATCTATGGCAATGTAAATCTTCTTGTGTTTGGGTTCCTTTGTCTGTGTTGCCACGTTGTCATGCTTAGTCATGTATACTCTCTTGGCTTGGCTGTAAACCTATCATATGCTCGCGAGTTATTCTGAAATATTTTTCGCCATTTTTTTGTAACTATCAAATACATGTCCTGAACAAAAAAAAATCATTTGTAAATGTGCCATGGTCAAATTATTTTATGAAATGCAAGTGATAAAGTATCGGTGTAAACCCCTACTGTGTTGCTTTATTAATAAATTTACGTCAATTAATAATTTATTTACGTTAAGTTACGTAATAATTTACGTTTCTGATGTCTGTTGAACACATTAAAAAATGGTCCAAATACGAAGCATATTCTTCCTATGTATAGAACTTGGTTGGCTAAGCAAGTGATTCTTTAATGATCATTCCATGTTGACTCGTACACAGTTCCTTCCCTTTACACAATTCTGCGTCTCAGTACGTGGGCTTGTGGTCCAGTGTCATACAACTCGTCAGCATCAATACACAAGGACAGGTACACAGTACACAACCCATAGCTACACAGTACATAAGTCCAGCTACACAGTACACAAGTCCAGCTACACAGTACACAAGTCCAGCTACACAGTACATAAGTCCAGCTACACAGTACATAAGTCCAGCTACACAGTACACAAGTCCAGCTACACAGTACACAAGTCCAGCTACACAGTACACAAGTCCAGCTACACAGTACACAAGTCCAGCTACACAGTACATAAGTCCAGCTACACAGTACACAACCCATAGCTACAGTACACAAGTCCAGCTACACAGTACACAAGTCCAGCTACACAGTACACAAGTCCAGCTACACAGTACATAAGCCCAGCTACACAGTACACAAGTCCAGCTACACAGTACACAAGTCCAGCTACACAGTACACAAGTCCAGCTACACAGTACACAAGTCCAGCTACACAGTACACAAGTCCAGCTACACAGTACACAAGTCCAGCTACACAGTACACAAGTCCAGCTACACAGTACATAAGCCCAGCTACACAGTACACAAGTCCAGCTACACAGTACACAACCCATAGCTACACAGTACATAAGTCCAGCTACACAGTACACAAGTCCAGCTACACAGTACACAAGTCCAGCTACACAGTACATAAGCCCAGCTACACAGTACATAAGTCCAGCTACACAGTACACAAGTCCAGCTACACAGTACACAAGTCCAGCTACACAGTACATAAGCCCAGCTACACAGTACACAAGTCCAGCTACACAGTACACAAGTCCAGCTACACAGTACACAAGTCCAGCTACACAGTACACAAGTCCAGCTACACAGTACATAAGTCCAGCTACACAGTACATAAGTCCAGCTACACAGTACACAAGTCCAGCTACACAGTACACAAGTCCAGCTACACAGTACACAAGTCCAGCTACACAGTACACAACCCCAGCTACACAGTACACAAGTCCAGCTACACAGTACACAAGTCCAGCTACACAGTACATAAGTCCAGCTACACAGTACACAAGTCCAGCTACACAGTACACAAGTCCAGCTACACAGTACACAAGTCCAGCTACACAGTACACAACCCCAGCTACACAGTACACAACCCCAGCTACACAGTACATAAGTCCAGCTACACAGTACATAAGTCCAGCTACACAGTACACAACCCCAGCTACACAGTACACAAGTCCAGCTACACAGTACACAAGTCCAGCTACACAGTACACAACCCCAGCTACACAGTACACAAGTCCAGCTACACAGTACATAAGTCCAGCTACACAGTACATAAGTCCAGCTACACAGTACATAAGTCCAGTTACACAGTACATAAGTCCAGCTACACAGTACATAAGTCCAGCTACACAGTACACAACCCCAGCTACACAGTACACAAGTCCAGCTACACAGTACACAACCCCAGCTACACAGTACATAAGTCCAGCTACACAGTACATAAGTCCAGCTACACAGTACATAAGTCCAGCTACACAGTACATAAGTCCAGCTACACAGTACACAACCCCAGCTACACAGTACATAAGTCCAGCTACACAGTACACAACCCCAGCTACACAGTACATAAGTCCAGCTACACAGTACACAAGCCCACAGCTACACAGTACACAACTCCAGCTACACAGCTACACAGTACACAAGCCCACAGCTACACAGCTACACAGTACACAAGCCCACAGCTACACAGCTACACAACTCCAGCTACACAGTACACAAGCCCACAGCTACACAGTACACAAGCCCACAGCTACACAGTACACAAGCCCACAGCTACACAGCTACACAGTACACAAGCCCACAGCTACACAGCTACACAGTACACAAGCCCACAGCTACACAGCTACACAACTCCAGCTACACAGTACACAAGCCCACAGCTACACAGTACACAAGCCCACAGCTACACAGCTACACAGTACACAAGCCCACAGCTACACAGTACACAAGCCCACAGCTACACAGCTACACAGTACACAAGCCCACAGCTACACAGCTACACAGTACACAAGCCCACAGCTACACAGCTACACAGTACACAAGCCACAGCTACACAGCTACACAATACACAAGCCCACAGCTACACAGCTACACAGTACACAAGCCCACAGCTACACAGCTACACAGTACACAAGCCCACAGCTACACAGCTACACAGTACACAAGCCCACAGCTACACAGTACACAAGCCCACAGCTACACAGCTACACAGTACACAAGCCCACAGCTACACAGCTACACAGTACACAAGCCCACAGCTACACAGCTACACAACTCCAGCTACACAGTACACAAGCCCACAGCTACACAGTACACAAGCCCACAGCTACACAGCTACACAGTACACAAGCCCACAGCTACACAGTACACAAGCCCACAGCTACACAGCTACACAGTACACAAGCCCACAGCTACACAGCTACACAGTACACAAGCCCACAGCTACACAGCTACACAGTACACAAGCCCACAGCTACACAGCTACACAGTACACAAGCCCACAGCTACACAGCTACACAGTACACAAGTACACAAGCCCACAGCTACACAGCTACACAGTACACAAGCCCACAGCTACACAGCTACACAGTACACAAGCCCACAGCTACACAGCTACACAGTACACAAGCCCACAGCTACACACCTACACAGTACACACGGTAAATACAGCGACAGCCTACAGCTGTAAAAGTCGTTCGTCTGTTGTTCCGGAGACAAATGTTGCCTGAAAATTTGCTTGTAACGAGCGTGGGGATCGGAGGGAAGAAATGGTGCCCAACCGTTTGTGACCGTCGGGGGATCGAACTCTCCAACGAGCATCGAGGCGGTCGCTGTACCGACCAGTCCACAAGCACAGGGCAATCAGAAATATTTCTGAGATATTGTGAAAGATTATTGATTTTGTCTGAAGTGAAATCAAAGAATTACAGTGGAAGCCTCAGTTAAAAGGCAAGGGATTGTGGAAGAGGAATTTGAGGTTCAGCGCCCAGCAGTGGAATAGGGAGAGGAGGTGGAGGGAGGTACAGCTGGCTCTTCCACCACCCAGGTGAGGTGGAGGGAGGTACAGCCGGCTCTTCCACCACCCAGGTGAGGTGGAGGGAGGTACAGCCGGCTCTTCCACCACCCAGGTGAGGTGGAGGGAGGTACAGCTGGCTCTTCCACCACCCAGGTGAGGTGGAGGGAGGTACAGCTGGCTCTTCCACCACCCAGGTGAGGTGGAGGGAGGTACAGCTGGCTCTTCCACCACCCAGGTGAGGTGGAGGGAGATACAGCTGGCTCTTCCACCACCCAGGTGAGGTGGAGGGAGATACAGCCGGCTCTTCCAGCACCGAAGTGAGGTGGAGGGAGATACAGCTGGCTCTTCCACCACCCAGGTGAGGTGGAGGGAGATACAGCCGGCTCTTCCACCACCCAGGTGAGGTGGAGGGAGATACAGCTGGCTCTTCCACCACCCAGGTGAGGTGGAGGGAGGTACAGCTGGCTCTTCCACCACCCAGGTGAGGTGGAGGGAGATACAGCTGGCTCTTCCACAACCCAAGTGAGGTGGATGGAACTAAATGAGAACTAAAAACACAACTTTGCAGGAAACTTCGCAAACTCCCACTTTATCCTCACGAACGACAAAGGCTATATAGAGGACTAGAAACGATTGAGCTAAAGCTACAAGAATCATAAAAGTTCCACAATAGGCAACAAGAGCAAATGCCCATCAATGAAATAGTTGGCACACAAAATAATTGTTCAGTGCAAAAATCTATAAGAAAACCCACATCTAGCACCTGGCAGTAAATAGGTACCTGGGTGTTAGTCAGCTGTCACGGGCTGCTTCCTGGGGGTGGAGGCCTGGTCGAGGACCGGGCCGCGGGGACACTAAAGCCCCGAAATCATCTCAAGATAACCTCAAGATATAGCATTGGACCCTTGTGCAAGGAATTTTCACTGACGACAATGTCGACGAAATGGGTGACATATTGGGGGATACAGTACTCCTCTATTTTCAGTGAACCCCTAAACATACTGAAGATCTAGAATTCAAACGAATTCTTGATGAATGTGACACCGACATAGACAGCATGCCTCTGCACTCTGCACCAGGCTCTGAGTCCTAGAATTCCATCTTGATCACAACTCCTTCAAAAAGCTAGCAGCACTTTTACCCCAGGCACCAAGTGTCTCTGAGGCAATGGGGACAAAATTGTAGTGGTGCTCAAGGTCTCTGTATTTACGTGACTTGGCCGCTTCCCGGTGATTGGCAGCTCCTCCATCTTGATCAAGCATTGTAAACTAAAACAATTATTTCAATCCCTTAAGGATATATATGGTTCCTAGATTCTGATATCTTCAACATACATAAAATAGTGGAGATCGAGGCACTCCACATGATTAGACCTGTAGCGCGAACGTCACATCATAAAACTCTTTTTAAAAAGAGTGGTTAGATGACCACAAAACAAAAGAGGGCACAGCTTCATAAACCTGAGAGTTACACGGGCTCAGTACTGAGTGCTCAGTTCCCCTCACCACTATGACAAGGTCTTTGATGCCACGGATGGCAAGCAAAACCCCGATGTCATATACACGGATTTTGTGAAAGCTTTCGACAAGTAACCGATGCGCTAAAGCGCACAAAAATGCGCACAAAGGGAATTACTGGCAAAGGAAGGAAAATGGATTTTTAATTTCTTGACGAACAGAATCCAGAGTGTAATAGTCAACGAAGTCCAATCCGGATTATCCAGCGTGAAAAACTGTTCCTGCTTCGGTACTGTGCTTGCTCCGGTACTTCTCACTGTGCCTATATATAAGTTATAGGCAAGGACACTATTCATGAGAATAGACAATATAAAGTACTCAGCAAATCTCCAAACTGATGTAAATCAGGTCTTTCAATGGGCCACAGAAACTAAAAAATTTAATGAAAATAAGTTTCAGCTCCTGAGCTACCGTAAAAAACAAAATATCAAAACGGGAACCACATATAAAACGCAGTAAAATCGGACTATAGAACGAAAGCACAATGTGAAAGCTATGGGATTAACTTGTCGGATGATATCTTAAAGAACACGAACAGCTATCACAACTGGAAACAAAAATCAATAATTTGGATACAGGAACAATACAAACATGATTCCAGACCAATGATGATAACTTTTTAAGACATTAGTTCTCTTTAGGTGAAATATTGTTAAACACTAACAACTCCATTGAAAACTGGATATATTGCAGGCTTCGAGAACATGCACAAATGATTGTTTACTGTCCAAATCCCCTCAGTACAACTTCTAAATTACTGGACTGCTCAAGATTTTACAATCGGTATTCTCTAAGAGTCCAATTGGGAGAGATGCATAATAATTTACTCTTGGGAAATATATGAGGCACTGCTACAAAATCTGCACCCGGAAATGACTCCACTTGGGACCAGGAGACATACGGCAGGAAGTGCAGAATAGTCCGCTTTGATACCTGATCATCCGGACTGTGATTCGTCATGTGAGGCAGCGACAAGCAGTTGGGTCTTACAGCCCGGTGACACCCGATCACGAACCAGGAGGCCTCGTCCGAGACCGGGCCGCGGGGGGAGATTGATCCCCGGAACCACCGCCAGGTATAACCACAAGGTAGACTACTGATAACGAGTGAGCTCGGTTAAGTAATCAGATGCTTTATGCCGCAGTAAACTCTCTCTCTCTCTCTCTCTCTCTCTCTCTCTCTCTCTCTCTCTCTCTCTCTCTCTCTCTCTCTCTCTCTCTCTCTCTCTCTCTCTCTCTCTCTCTCTCTCTCTCTCTCTCTCTCTCTCTCTCTCTCTATATATATATATATATATATATATATATATATATATATATATATATATATATATATATATATATATATCGTTAAAGGTATATCTGTCAGGTAAATATAAACATATATACACGAGAAGCGAGCCACAAGGGCATACATATATACACTCTCCAGTTTGTTTTTAATAAATGGGAACGCTGGCACTTGAACACACACATCATCAAATTCCCATATTCCCATTCCAGTTATGGTCAAGTGATTGATTTTTTTTTATATCGTGAATCCGGAAATGAGCGTTCATGGCGAGCCTCGCTTGTGAATGACCTCGTAGGGGTCACAAGGCTGTTCGCTGGCTAGTTTGTCCTTAATCTGTCATTATAGATATGAAAATGATGAAAATAATTTATAAAAAAATAATGCTCCACAGAAATCAGCTTAACCTGATGTTTCACTGAGAATATCACTTGGAGCCTTTAGGGGAAGGATTCGAACCCTGCCCCCCTCCTTCCCTGGGTACCTGCCCCCCTTGGTACCTGCTCCCGTTCAGTACCAGCACACAGGGTACTCCCAAGCACACACTTCGAACCCTAGTTCGAACCAGAAATCATCTTAACCTGATGTATCACTGAGAATATCACTTGAAGCCTTTAGGGGAAGGATTCGAACCCTGCCCCCCTCCTTCCCTGGGTACCTGCCCCCTTTGGTACCTGCTCCCTCTCGGTACCTGCACCCAGGGTACTCCCAAGCACACACTTCGAACCCCGGTACGGAACTTCTGTACCGACACAAGAGTGCCGGGTTAATCTGTTTAACCCTGCACACACACATGTCCCTATACACACCTGGCCTCAACCCTGCGGTAGCTGTGTGTGGATATAGAACCTGATCCGACGGGTCGGAGTGGTCTGCGTGCGTGCAATGTTGTCGCGGCACTGATGAGCAATTTACGTCTATCACCGCTGATCGCCGGAGCCTGCGGCGGTGATGGCAGTAACGCTTGTCTGAATGAGCCGCTGGTATTTAAGCAGCTGTCACGGAGAATAACCCTAATCACGTGGAATGTTATAAACGCACTCACACGCGTACGCACGCGCGCGCGCACACACACACACACACACACGTGCGAAACACACGCAAGCACGCAAGCAAACACGCGCAAAACACACACACACACACACACACACACACACACACACACACACACACACACACACACACACACACACACACACACACACACACAGCGTGAGAGTAGTAGAAAAATGGAATGCACTTGGGGAACAGGTTGTGGAAGCAAATACTATTCATACTTTTAAAACTAGGTATGATAGGGAAATGGGACAGGAGTCATTGCTGTAAACAACCGATAGCTAGAAAGGCGGGATCCAAGAGTCAATGCTCGATCCTGCAAGCACAAATAGGTGAGTACACACACACACACACGCGCCAAAGCTCAACCCCCGCAAGCACAAATAGATGAGTACACACATACACAGTTTCAAATGTAGACATGACAGAACCCAGTAGGCTCAGGAATCTGTACACCAGTTGACTGACAGTTGAGAGGCGGGACCAAAGAGCCAGAGCTCAACCCCCGCAAGCACAACTAGGTGAGAGGGGAAGAGGCTTGGAGGGAGGAACTAACAGCAGGCCGCGGACGGGTGAGTGAGCGAGCAGCCTGTCAGCGAGCCTCCGCCTGTCAGCGAGTCCTCTCATTTGCCAGCGCCGGCAGGCAAGGTGGCGGGGAACTCACCAACCAACGTGGCCAAAGGGGACCACTTCATTGTGGCCAAATGCACAAAGAACTGCCGGCTGGATGTGTCGTCTTGCCACAGCGACGCCTCAGGCTCCTGGCTCCCGACACATGCTGGCTTCACTCCGACGTCACTGTTGCCAGGGGTG